TTATTAACAGAATCTTGAAAGAAAATATAAAAAGCTTTACACCGATATGTATCTTTAGTCATTTCTGAATATATTCTAAAATATACTCCATAAAAGTTGAATGAATTTCTCTCTCTCAGAATTAAGATCATCTATGAAGAGAAGTTCATTAACTTTATTACATTTATACTTTATTTATTATAATTTTTATTAACAGCAAATAAGGTCGAGTAGAATTGAATATAATTGATTTTACTGAAAAATTCATTTTATTTTGACAGTACGAAATATGAATTGCAGAAGGCTGCTCGGTACGTACACTTGGTACATCGACTCTACCAGCAGCAATAACCTTTGTCGTTGACAATGCACATGTAGATAGTATCGATGTATCGAAAACTGGATATATAAATTTATGTTGTTCACTTTTTTTCTTTGAAATATTCCTTTTATTTTATCTTGAATACCAGTTGAACGCAGCTGTTATATATGCACAATGAGTTTATGTGATAACAACCTTTACAATAACTGCTGCTGGCTTTGCCTACACCGTTCTACAATTGACAACGAATATTTATTCTATAATTTGACATTAACTACCTACGCAAGGCATCGATGATGTAATTTATTTAATAATTCTGTTGCCTACGTTATATCTACATACGGGCCCCGTAAGCTACGAATGACAACAAACTAACAGGGATTGGTTAATCGATCACGATAAATTATACAATACACATTTATGTGATGCGCCGTGGTCTCATAAATATAAAATACATATAAAATTGTAAACGGCTTTTCAAGTAGAAAAACAGAAACTTATGCGACGTTTCAATAAAGTACAAAATACATTCGTCGTTGTTTAATAACTCCCTTAAAATTTCGAGTTGGAGCATTATTTGCTACTTAATACGATTTCTTTTCCGTACGTTCTGTATCGCTCGATATTTTATAAGCGTGTAGGGGCCCTCGGTAAATAGTGGTCGACCGTGTGAACAAATTTTCTAATTTTCTAGTGTTAAATACGTATATTAAAGCACCATGATCTAAAATTATAAATATACAGGGTATTTTATTCTTTAATGTTATAATGAGAAAGAATTAAATTTTCATCTCTCTAGAAAAGTTATTAAATAAATGAAAAACCGATGAAACACAGTTAATACATCGTCGTATTGATAAAATTTTTACAAATATAACATAATGCTACATAAAGGCTTAACACCCTATATATTTTGACTACTTATGATTATGTAATACTAAATAGACTTACATTTTAGATTAATTATGTATTTTATATAACAAAAAAGATATACTATTACATAGGGGTCCACCGTTATACCAATACATATATATTGACAGTGTACAGTTGTTATACTGTCATATCAATACATTATTGATAAAAGTATACTGGTATATCAATACATCTTCATCAGTTGAATGTTGAATATACATTGTAATGAACGGTGTACAGTTTTTGAAAAACTCGTGTGTGTGTGTGT